AGCAACTCAGTGAGACCCTGTTTCTAAATAAAATACAAAAATAGGAATGGGATGTGGCTCAGTGGTTGAGTGCCCCTGAGTTCAATCCCTAGTACACCCTCACCAAAAAAAAAAAGTCCTCTCTTATTCAACTTTTCCTCACTTGATACAAATCATTCCTTTGGTTCCTTTTTGCTTCTCAAACATCCAAAATTGTTGCTTCGTCACAGCCCTTGCATCTGGTGTTGTCTCTATCCAACGTCCCCCCACCCCCACCACTGAGAAGAAATTTCGTATCCTCTAGCCTCCTCTTGGATAGCATCTTCTCAAGCAGGGTACCCTTGACGCACTTTTCTGGAAGAACTCTATTGCCTCTGACCCCCAGTGCTCTCCTAGCTCCAAGTTATCTTGATCATCTCTGACTTATTTCTTTCCCGGCCTTTATTGAACTCAATTATAACATGTGTTATATTCATTTCCTTTGTTCCTTCCAGCAGAAAGTGAGCTTCTGAGGATAGGAACCTGTTTGGCCCTGTGCCTTCCTTTATCCCTTTGAGCTGCATGCTTATTGGCACATAGCAGGATATACAGCTGTAGGTAGTTAAATGAATAATAATGGAATGATGATAATCTACCCAATGCAAGAACACCTTTAAGTTTAGGATGCTAGAAGTATACTCCTTCAGTTAAATTCCAAGGACCGACCAACCAAGATGTGATGAGGAGTCAGTTATACAGAGAGGAGAATGAGAAGTACCTTGAACTCCTTGTACCTGAGAAAACTTGGGAGGGAGGGAAGCTCCTGATCTGGGGTTGGGGTACATGCTCATTTCCCCCATGACCCATAAAGAGACACCAAGGCTCCGTTTTCCCCACCTGTACAATCACCGAGTTGAGTCAGGTGACCTCCCAGTGCCTTCCAGACTCTTCCCCCATACCTGAAGTCCCACAAGGCACCCTATTACCAATTAGAGAGAAAACTGCTTAAAGTTCAGGACATAAAATTGATTTCAAATGCTACACAATAAAAGAATAAATATGAAACACCAGGATACCACTTCAACAGAATCCTTTTTTTTTTTGTCCATAATGATACTTTAATGTATTTTGCTAGGGACATTTTGAGGTTTATAGCAGTATAATAAAACATATAATCTTTCATCTGGTTAACCAACTTATAGCTATTGTATTCTCAACTGCTCTGGGATGCAACCGAAATTGAATTTGCTGAGGTTTTTATTTTTTTTTAATTTTAAGTAAAATAAGTAGTGAATCAAATATACCAAGTGATAAAAAAGATCTGAGGTTGTCTTTCTATGGGTACCCTAGTAAACTGGGATATTTCTCTGGCTTTCAGCAGCTCTGGCTCTTATTTCCAAAGATCACTTTGGAGTTGAATCAGGAAAACACACTAAAGAGGAAATCATCAGATAGCAAGATAATTTGAATCCCTGAAATAGAAGAAAGACCCTTTATAGAACACTGGCTTTTCTAGGGTTGGATAATGAGGCTTGGCTACTTAAGACAGAGGCCAGATGAGTAAATCAAGTGAATGATGTATGCATATTTTTAGAAGTTGTAATTTCTCAAGGACTGAAATTTCTCTATGTGTGCTGAATTGAACAGCGGTCGTTATAAAATAGGCAACATGGATATAGGTTAAAAAGGAATTTGGTCATTATTTAGTCTATCTCAAACAAGAAAAGCCCCTATCAGATTTCTACCTGGGAGCTGGAGAACACTGACCCTCCAGGGTGGTTTCTTCCCTACAGAAGCAGTTAGAATGTGCTGTACAGTTGCTACAGTTCTCTGCACTGGAAGCCGTGTGCTGAAGACCCATTAGTTTCAGACTGAGGGGCAGTAGGTGATAGCAAAAGATTGTCTGCACACAAGACAATCTTTTGCATAAATGCACTCTACTGTCATGTATAACTAACTGAAACAGATTTTAAAAAAGAAAACAAAAAAAATGACTGCACAAAATTTTAAGCATCTAGTCTATTCAACTGGACAGAGACTTTCTAGAGGATTTCTTTTTTTAAGTACTTCAGATTGAACCCAGGAGTGCTCAATCACTGAACTACATCCCCACCCTGTTTCATTTTTTTATTTTCAGACAGGGTCTCACTAAGTTGCTTAGGGCCTTACTAACTTGCTGAGGCTGGCCTTGAACTTGTCATCCTCCAGCCTCAGCCTCCCAAATCATTGAGATTACAGATGTGCACCTCCGTGCCTGGCATTCAGAGAAATTTTATACTAGTCTATGCCAGGGTTTCTCAACCTTGAGACTATTAATCTTTGGAGTTGGATAATTTCCTACTGGGGCTCAGGGAACTGTGTTGTGTATGGAAGGATTCATAACAGCATTCCTGACCTCTGGATTACTGGTCCCTGGTAGCAAGATTCTGCCACAGGTTTGACAAACAAAAATGTCTCCCGATAACATCAAATGTATTTTGAGGTGGTTGAGAGTTACTAGTATGTTCCTAAGAGTATATACATCTGATATGAACGAAAATAAATAAGAATATACTGCAGAGTATGCCAATACTCAGTTTATAAAGGATACCTCATTTTGGGCCATTTGTTTTGGGCCAGTGACATGACATCTTACTTATTCAACACCTAATCTTATTTCTACATTATGGGAACACGTCCATTTTTTGAGCGATTTCCTCTTCTAAATTCACAAGAACCCTACCACATGTACCAGTAGGTACCAATAAAGCCTGGTTTTGGAGTCAGACTTTTTAACCTCTAAGCTTTCTAATCTCTTGCTCACTGGTGATGGTCCTCATGACCATGTACATTTCACAAAGAACATAGTGGTTAAAAGTATAAGTTCTGGGAACAAATGGGCCAGATGATTAGATTTGGAGAGCTGTAACCTAATCAGTCCATCCTCGTCTTAATGGACTGTCTGGGTAGTGACTGTAAACAAGTAGAGAATAGCTGGAGGATCTCTGGGGCTGTGCCCTGGAAGGGTACACCTGCCCTACAGCACCTTTGTCCCTCTGTCTGTCTGCTTCCAGATCCCGCCATCAGCTGATCTGCTTTCCTCCTCCACTGGGCCCTACCCCCATGATGTTCTGCTGCACCTTGGGTCCAGAGCAATGGAGTTTTCCATCTATGGATTGAGACCTCTGAAACATGAGCCTCAAATAGAGCTGTCCTCCTCTGAGTTGTTCTTGTCAGGGTTGTGCTATTTCTCGGTGGTGGAATTTCACATGAAACCCAGGCCACCTTTTATCCTTGGCCAAGTATCTGTCTATTGCCCTGGTGGTATTACCTTTCATTCCTTGGTTCTGATTTCTTCATGAACTGAAAAAAAAAATTATTCATCAATATTCATATAGGGACCTGAACCATGCTTGTGGCTGTGGAATAGCTCCACTGGGGTATCCAGGCATTTAAATTGCTCCCCACTGGGCGTCAGAAACCCCCAGTGACAGATTGCAGAGTATTCCAGGAGGAGGATTATAGTTTTCCACAGGGATGAGAGGGCCAAGACTTGTGAATAAATGCAACCGCCAATTAAACTCCCTCAACACTATATTTAATTTAGAGTCCTTAAAACAAACAAGGATTGCTGTATTTTAAATATCTGACTTTTTTTTTAAGGCCACCGCCCCTTAAAGTATTTGTTGCTTTTGATGCTAAGGCAACTGGCTGGTAAGACTTGACCATGAAACCCACTTGACAATATCATAGCTGCTTAACAGAGAAGGACAGTGGAAGCATCCAGAAAACCCTAATTTTCACATAAATTTCCAAATATTTCTGTCAGTTTATTCTCTCCCTCTCCCTCCCCACCCCGCTCTCTCGTTCTCTCTTTCTCTCACACACACAGCCACACACCTGTACTCACTGCTTATTATTATCCAGTTATCCAGTAGGGTAAAAGTTGTAACTGCTTCCTTCAACTTTGTATCGGTAGCACATGGAACCATGCCCAGCATGGTAGCTTCTTCCTGTTTCCTTGGTCTCCTACTTGAAATGTCGAGCCATTGGTCTTAGGACTGGCCTTGCAGGCTCTGAAAAGAGGGGCTTTGCCAGGTATGGTGGCACATACCTGGAATCCCAGTGTCTCCGGAGGCCGAGGCAAGAGAAATGCAAGGTTGAGGTCAGTCTTAGCAACTTAGTGAGGCACTCAGCAACTTAGTGAGTCCTGGTCTTAAATTTAAAAATAAAAAGGGACTGGGGATGTGGTTCAGTGGTTAAGAGCTCTGAGTTCAACCATTGATACAAAAGGAGGCTTTAAATATTTTCCAATAACTTGAAGGCTGTTTCACGATCCCCCTATATTTGTTTTTTTTATAATACAATATCATTTCGTTTCTTCAGTGTTAGGGTTTCAAGTCCCTAAACACATTGATCATCCTCATTGAGCTATTAAACAACTTGTTTATTTATATTGAAATTCTGGGCAGAGATGTCCAGTTTCCTTCTACATCCACATACCTTTTCTTATATAACATAGGCACAAGTTCCCCCAGCTAAAGACCACCTCTCCCAGCTATCCTTGAGTCAGTGGTGACTTGTGGTCATTCTGGACAATGAAATTGTGGATGAAAATACACCTTCTCAGTAGTGATCCTCAGGGGAGCTGTTCTCCCTCTCCCTTCTCAGCCTGCTGCCTGGGTTACTGGTGTTGGTGGAAAGCCAGACCATGCCCTTCAGAAGCCACATCGCCAGGATGACAGGACAACATATTAATAAGGCTCCTTGGATAGTCTTCCAGGAGAGATATGTCCTATCAGCTTTGGCCTGCCCACATTTGGACAACTAACAGAAAAACACATGTTATTTTGTTGTTGTTGTTGTTTGTTTGTTTGTTTTTTTAAGCCACTATTGAGTTAGAACTTACATGCATCTTGAATTAGTCTACTAACAGAGCCAAAGACAATACCAAAGACGAAGTTTAGTATACAAAAAAAGTACTCAGAATTTATGCCATTGGCTTAGCCTTTGGTACAGAGATGGAGAAGATGAAAACATTGTGCTTTTATCTTGTTTCACAGGTGATAATCTCAGAAGACAGATCAGCTACCTGAGTGACAGCAGTTTGATATTGAAACGATATCATCATCCCAAAGACAGTTTCCCTTTTCTCTCTGGTGTAATGCTAATCTGCCAGGTAAGCCAGTTTTTATCCATCTTAGTATCCCACCTTTTATGATAAGCATACCTCAAGAATTTATATCAGCTCAGTGGGGTGGCATACACCTGTAATCCAAGCAACTCTCGAGGCTGAAGCAGGAGGATCACAAGTTCAAAGACGGCCTCAGTAAGGCGAAGCACTAAGCAACTCAGTGACACCGGGATCTCTAAATAAAATACAAAATAGGGCTGCGGATGTGACTCACTGTTAGAGTGCCCCTGAGTTCAATTCCCAGTACCCCCCCCCACCAAACAAAAAGAATTTATTACATATGTTTTACTGAAACGTGAAGCATACCACCGTGTGGTGTCTCAGCTGGGATTCCTTTGAAATTAGACCTTCATCCATTTCACTCAGTTGACAAACAATTGTTCAATTGTGCCCCAAAAGGAGAATCTCCTTAATATCTTATTTATGTAAATCCTTCTGAAGGTTCACTCTCTTTCTCTCTTTCATACACACACACACACACACACACACAACACACACAAACACACAATACAGTGATCATCATATTAAGATATCTGCATGTGAAATAAAGCATGTCTTATGTTTATTAGTTTTTAATCCTAATCTTTTAAACCAAAGTCTTCAAACTAGGGCCCATGAGCCAAATAGGGTCCTTCTGATGGCTTTCTTTTATTTTTTTAAATAAAATTTTATTGGAACACAGCCACCCCATCTGTGTAGATATTAACTGTCTACAGCTACTGTTGTGCTACATTGCAGAGTTGGGCAGTTGCCACAGAGACTATGTAGCCACAGAGGAAACAAAACTACTATATGGCTCTATGCCAAAAAATAATTTAATACTCTATGATGTATACCCGTATTTCCCAATCCTTTGTTCCAAGAATTATTTTTTTCCCAAAGAGTCTTCCCCTGGTCCCCCTTAATCACCCTGCTCTGGAAAGTCCTAATAACACAGATAAACTATACATATGTTCGTGTGTTGTGCGTGCATCTGTGATTTATTGATAAAAATAGTAAGATCTTCATTCCCTAAAGACCAATTTTTGCACCACTAGAAGCCATATTATTCCTGTTGAGAATGCAATTTCCAGACCAGGATTTTCCAGACCAGGGTTTCCAATTTTGGCACTACTGATATTTTGGGCCAGTGATTCTTTGTCCTCCGCCTGTAGGATGTTAGCAGCATCCTGGCCTCTACCCACTCAAGGCAAATAGCTCTCCTTTGCACAATCTGTGACAACCAAAAATGTCTCCAGACCATGCTTAATGTCCCATGATGGGGGTGGGGCCAGGGGAGACCAGATTGTCCCCAGCTGAGAGCGATTTACTCTATGCAATATCATAAAGCAATGTGTTTAACCTGCATCATGATGTCATAATCTTAATATATTTTTCTTTACAACATTTATCATTAACCAGAAGCATTTTAGCTCTTTTTATTGCAAGTACTTACAGGAGTCACAAGTCACATTTTCAAATACTTAATTCTAAATTTTTCTCCAAAATTGACATTATGATCATTGGTCAGGAGCTCACTGAATCCCTTGCCCCTCTTCAATCATCTTTGACATTTTCCATTTTAGCAGTGTTTTTCAAAAACCTAGTCAGGGATTCAGGGAATCTTATTTAATGATTTTCTCAGTGTGTTTCTTCCATGCCAGGAAAATTGAACTAGTCAAGAGTCATTCTTACTATCCTTTTTCATAAATTAAGTTTCCATTCTCCATTAACAAAGACCACTCTACCATTGGATTTACAAGAATTATTTCCATTGTCAGGAAACCAAAGGTAAAAATGTGGATGGAATTGGCTATCTTTGTCATTAAGCACATGCAATCATTTCCTAGGTATTTTTTTTTCCAGTAAAGAAAAATAACCAGTGTTGCACTGACACTCAATGTCATCACAATCATGTGGGATTATAGTAAAAACAAAATGGTAGATGAGACCCACATGCGATTCTGAGAATAATAAGGACAAAATCAAGCAATTTCAATACTTTTCTTCTGTGTTGTCAGGACGGAAGACAAACAAGTCCTAAGAGAAAGATGTGCTTAACTGGCTTTCTTGATAGAATCCTGTGTTGTTATCAAGGAACCATCTTTAAGATGCCCCTAACTCTATTGCATTTCAGTGGAACTTGCCTTGCATTTTGCTGGAACTCAGTTTTACAAGGTAATAACCCAAAGGAAAAATAAAACAAGCTTTCTGTTTTGCTTGAAGTGGGAACAAAGGCAAACATAAGTGATTTGAGAACCGATCGAAAGTCATTGCCAAATCTGAAAGGTGGTGCTGTGAGCTACTTGAATCAGTCTTGTCCTTCCACACAGTTTTTAAATCCATCAGACAAAGCCTATGGTTAAGATCATAACGTTGGCCACATAATCAAAATTCTGTGAATTAGGCTATTTTTCTTATGTTGTCATCAGCATTGAACAATGGAAAATCTAAATGCCTACATTAAAATCCATCATTACTTTACTTTGTGATTTTTGAATAAATCATAAAACCTTTGCTCCAGCTTCCTGAAGCCAGAAAGAGATGCTTTATCAACTGCATTGTTTAGGCATGTTTGAATGACCAAAATTACAGTGCAAATTTCTGCTTGTGCAATGGTTATATTGTTAGGTGGTTTGAGCTTCTGTGTATTCCTTTTACAGCAATGGTCTCCCACCTTAAGTAATGGCTCTGATAACTTTCTTTCCTGCCTTTTTTTCCCCTCATAGAACATTGTCCCTGTGTAGGAAGAATAATATGAACTCTGCACTCAGAACCCAAATACCTGGATTTGTTATTCAAGTTCCACTCACCAGCCTTGCGATTTTGAGTAAGCTTCTTCCCTTTGCTGTAGTTAATCTTTTGGTCCCCAATACGCTGGAATATTATTGGATCATATAATGGAAAAGCTCATGAAATGGCATCAGGCATAGCTAGATACAGAGGTTTGCATAATAATATTAGAACTTTGTCAATTCCCTCATCATGATTCTACCTTTCCTCTGATAGGCTCTATATGTGGTAGAAATGAGAAGCTAGAGGTTTACATTCTTCCTGGTTCAATCTTGGCAGAAGAAGTAATATCCCATTTCACTATTACCAGCCTAAGTCCTACATTGAAGCTTCATTTCCTGCAGGTACCCTTCCCTAAATAGTTACTGTAGTCAAGACAATGGGTTGATTTAGTTGTACCTAAATTACTGCTTAGTTGTACCTAATTTAGTTGTACCTAAATTAGGGCTTCAGAAGTCATTAAGACTCCATAAAATAAGATGGAGAGATAGAAGGATTCTATTCCTTTATTTACCAATACTTTTCCCATCCCCTGACTGCAGGCATAACCTGGGACACCAGCCTTCTCACCAGTGCCTGGATCTGATCTTGTAGCAGGAACCTCAATCTCAGAATTTCCAGACCCATCACTTCACACATTTCCCTAGGGCTGCGGCTGTTCTTAGAAACTCATCAAAGTCGGAATCATTTGGGCATGAGAATTCATCCATAAGTAAGTAAATTCATAACCCTCTACAGTAGTAAATTACCACCCAATTGTTCTATATCCTCATTTTCATCTATCATTGCTGCAAACTATCATGCCATAGAAATTGTAGGTGTCATCAAAACTCTCAGCCCCACTAACTGGGGGCCAGAAGAACATTCTTTGGGGACTACTGTTTGATGCCAAGACACGTTCATCCATGTAGCTTCCACCTTACCAGGTAGTTCTGTCACTGAACCTCTTCCTAAAGCTATGGGGACATCTCTACCCAGCAGGGGTCTTGCCTTGGGCTTAATTCCAGGCATTTGCTACTGTGTCTGTGCTAGGCCCACAATGGGACTTCATAGGACTTTGGGACTTTTACCACTGCTCTGTATCTCTGTCTCCTCTCCTGAAAGAAAAAGATAAAACAGAATGTGCATTCTCTTTCTGGACTGTTACATAAACTATAGAGTTATATAAGCAAACTGTAGAGTGCTGATATTATGTTGGAAAAGTCTTTAGGGTCAGGAGATGGGTGAGTGTCATCATGGATTTCTAGAGAAAAAGCAATCCTTGAGATTGTTGTTCCATCACCAGGCAAATGGTGCAGGTTGTCCAAAGGACTTCCTCATGTTTCTGATCATAACCTACAAGCTACCAGAAAGTCTGCCTGACCTTCCACTTAGCCTGTTCCCCTCCCCAGCCAGGGTTCGCCCCCACCACATTACAGCACCACTGTCTCTACTGCAACCCTTCATCTGACATCTCACCTGGGCGTGTGCCCAGGAGGGAGATGCAGGCAGGTTCTCTGTGTTCTGCATCACCAGAAGGTGAGGCAGGGCCATCTGCTCAAGCACAAGGATATCTTTTTTCCATTGTGAGGCATAGGATGAATCATTGGCCAAAAAAAACAAATTTTACTTCACTGGATTAAAAAAAAATGCACAGAAATTTTTACAGTACCAGGAAGTTATTTGGGGTATCACTTTAGAAAGTAATGGTGTTTAAAAACTTATTGAACTTTTGCTGGGCAAGATAACACAAGCCTGTAATCCCAGCAACTCAGGAGGCTGAGGCAGGAGAATTGCAAGTCAGGCCAGCCTCAGCAATTTAGAGAGGCCCTAAGCAATTTAGCAAGAAGCTATATAGTACAATATTCACAGGAACTCTTGGAGATTTCATGGCATAAAAGAGAAAATGAAAGGGTTGGGGATAGAGTTCAGTGGTTGGGGATAGAGTTCAGTGGTAAAACACCCCTGGGTAAATTCCCAGTTGAAAAAACAAACAAAAAAAAAAACTTATTGAACTTTTGAACCATGAGTGTTTAACTTATGTGGTTCAAAAGTAAGTTTTATATTATACATGGAAAGTTCTCACTTTCATTGTCTGACATGCACACATTTTAGTTGCTACTGCCATAATCCAAACAGCATAGTTTATCTTTCAGTCCTCATATCAAAGTATAATAATTATAGATGCTAAATAGGGTACAAACTTTATTGCTAGCTCTTCAGTCTATCAATCACTGCATAAATAACAGATGTGCTTCATGATCGGTGAGCAATAGTATCACTTCTTCCAAAGGTTATAGGTTACTGGTCACTGCATATCTGTAACTGAGCTTACTGTGCATTGGTCATTTACAGACAGCAAAGCCCGTAGTTGTGTCGGCTTCTCATCTTCTGGTGATAAACCCAACTGACATTTTGTAAAGGCCGATCATCAAAACAGGGTAACAGCCAACAAAGATAAAAACACAATGAAGAAACAAAAACTAGTAGAGATGGAGGTGAAATTTGAGTCGGATGTAAAGGAGCTAAAAATAGAAATAACTGACCATAGGAACATTGGCTAACCACCATTCAACAGAATCTCAATATGCAACTAGGGGCTGGGGATGAAGCTCCGTGGTAGAGTGTTTGCCCAGCATGGACAAGGCCCTGGCTTCAATTCTCATCCTGCAAAACTAAAAAAATTAAAATAATAGTAATAAATGTGCTACCAAAGTAACAATGTGAAAGTAAAATTTTGACATTTTTGAGAAAAGTTTAGCAAAAAGGATGAAGATATTTCTAAGAAAGTGATGCCTATAAAAATGCACAGGAACTCTTAGCAATTTCAATGGCATAAAAGAGAAAATGAACAAATGTTAAAAGGTAATCAAAACTTAGGAAAATAATTCACAAAGACATAGGAAACATGTTTGCTGTATATGGTAAATCACATAGCAAGAAGAAGATGAGCATTCTTCAGACTACTCTCATTAAAAATTTAAAAGAAATGAAGCCCATTAATTCTCAATATTTACAATACTGATCACAGTATATCAAATAAATATTAGTTTTATTATGTTTAATTTTTGTATATTTATTCCTAATAGCAAGACACATGCACTTCCCTTCTGAAGGGAGGCATTAAGGTGACAAATGTCACAAAGGAAGTATGTATTCATATAATATCTACTGGCTATAAAATAGGATTTGGGGAGTAGTGAGAAACAAAGAAGAATCACATGTGGTTGTCACCTTAAGAATGTCAAGGTCTCCTTTTAAATAGGGATTTTTATGTAAAGTCAGTCTTTTGTATATAAGGATAATTCACATCATGAATGCCCCACCCCCACTTTTTTTGGGGGGGAAGGGGGAGGTCTACCAGGGATTGAACCTAGAGGTACTTAACAACTAAGCGAGTATTTTTTATTTTGATATAGGGTCTCACTAAGTTGCTTACAGCATTTCTACGTTGCTGAGGCTGACTTTGATCTTGTGATCCTCTGCCTCAGCATCCTAAGACCCATAAGTGCTCCTTTAAAATGAACCCTCAAAATAGGGACCACATTTTTATACTAAATGTATGATGAAAAATATTTGGCCAGGTGCACATCTCAAAAAATGAAACTTAAAAATTAAAACCATGTTTAATTATTTATTTTTTTTTAGAGCGAGAGAGAAAACTAATATATATAAACTAATATATATAAACTAAAACTAATATATATATTAGTTTTCGGCGGACACAACATCTTTGTTTGTATGTGGTGCTGAGGATTGAACCCGGGCCACATGCATGCCAGGCGAGCGCGTTACTGCTTGAGCCACATCCCCAGCCCCCAGGCTTATTTTTCATTAGTCAGCATTTAATTTAAAATGCCAACAATGTCCTGATTTATTATTTGTTGGCTTAATTTTGCTTTAATTTTTGTGGTGGCAAGATATACCACACTTGCTTTGAGTTGGAGTCTTAAACACAATTACACAATAAATAGAAGTTCATTGGATTAGACAAAGGGGAGTGAAGGGAAGGGAGAGGGGGAGGGAATAGGAAAGACAATAGAATGAAACAGACATAACTTTCCTTTGCACATATGTACATGACCAGCATAACTGAACATCATGTGCCATCACAAGAATTGGATCCTAATTGGAATGGGTTGAATTCCCTGTATATATATAATGTGTCCAAATATACTCTACTGTCACAAAAATTTTAAAAGAACAAATAAAAAATAATAAATAAGTAATTTTTTTGTAGAAGTGTTTGATAGGTCATCTTTTTTTCTTTATGGCTTTCTCTTCTGATATTCAAGTCTTTCTTTCTTGAAGCTTCTATGTGTTATGATACTGATTTCCCCTTCCTTTATTGGTCTAATTCTGCCAGTTTTTCATTATTCACAAGGTTAGTTCATGCAACACCACTTTCATAGACATCATGAAGTTTCACAGTTTGCAAACTGACAGTGGAGGGGTTTTACATTGTTTTAGGATGTACCTCTAGACTCTGACAATCAACAGAAAATCACCAAACGGAGTTGGGTATTACAGTCTGCATCGGAGTCAGCAAAGTACAGCCCATGGAGCAAATCTGACCCACTGCCTAATTTGTGATTAAAGTTTTATTGACACACAGCCATGCCTATTTTTTGAACATATTATCATCCATGATTCCGTTTGTACTATAACCGCAGAGTTAAGCACTAGTGACAGAGACCTGACCCAACAAATCCAGAAGGTTTATTGTTTGACTTTTTCCAGAAGTTGTCTGCCAACCTTTGATCTGGACTGATGCTAAAGCTAAATAAGAGAGGCTTCATGGACCTTGATCCTACAGGAATCAATCCAACAGTCAAGGTCTGGGGGCATGATTTTGTTTCCATATCAGCACCTATTGGTAGAAAAAATAATGTGGTAAATAGTCAACGAAGGAGGATCGCTCACTCTTAAATCCAAATTTCATTAGATTTGAATGAATGATACAAAATGGTAGATTGATTGGGAGGAGAAAGAGCTCTAAATGGCTACTGAAGGAAATGGGAAACTCCTTGGGAGAGGTAAAACCTGGCTGCAGGGCTTCCAAGGACATGTAGGATTAAGGGTCTCCATGTTCTCTGAAAAAGGCCAATGTGGGCTGCCATTCATCGTAGGCATGAGCAAATAACAATCAATCACTTTGCGGAGACAACAAAGTATTGTCAGTAGAAGCGATGGATAAAGGCTGAGCCAGAGTGAAATATCCCTGACTCCTGTGAGGTTGAAGTTGGCAGGAATTCTATTAAGAAGACCACAGGAGCCATTGATGGTCACAAGAATATGTAACCAAAGCACCTGCCAAATGCCCCCTCCAGGTTTTAATGCCATCTCAAAGACCCGGTGGTGTTCAGTAAGGCTAGTTCCTCCTCTACCAGTGGTAGAATTGGAAGGAAATTCCCCCTTTATGGTATTAGCTGATCATCAAAGTTTGTCCTGAGAACAATCCTCCCCTTCAGGACCCAAAGGAACAAGGGCTGTGCCCCTCGTGGTGGAATTTCAGCCAAGGGAGCCTGACACATCCCTCGGGTCAACAGAAGCTTCACTGTCGTGGGATTAGTTGGCCTCTCTCTTCTGATTTATGCATGAAGTTGCTGCCGGTCTCTTTCAAATTAAGACCTCCTTGAAAAGTACAATTGGATCGCCAGCTCTCAGAAGCAAAGCAGAGGTGTTCAGCCCAGAAGTCTGATCTCAGCAAGGTCTCCTTTTAATGACCAGCCCTCTGTGCCTACTTGCTCTCCCAGGAGGCCACAGAGTGATTAGCCAGGTGGGTGGCCCCACAGGCTCTGGGGAGGGATCCCAGCCCTCAGATCTGTCTTGGAGTCTGGCAGCTGGGAGAAGGGCCCAAACAGAAGCGCAGCAGTTGCCTGTCAGGGGCAGCAGCGGAGCTGCCGAGGCCCGCGGTGCCTCTGGGTTCTGCGCCAGGCTTCAGATGGTGCTGCCAGCACATCTTGTGAGCCCACCCCAGTGGGTGGCAGGGACGGAGGCAGCTTCCCTGGCTCCAGTCTCTGCTCTCAGGCCACTTCAGGACTTTAAACTGCTTGGGGAGTGACAGCTGTCGGTGCAGGTGCCCTGGGGAATTGTGGGGGTGGGAGAGGTTTGGGGACTAATTACACAGTATGTTCCCTGCTGCTCTAGATTTTTTTTTTCCTTAGCAAACTAATCACAGACAATAATTTTAAGAGGCTATGACTGCTCCAAGATTGCTTTCTTCCAAAAACTAAACGTCATGTTGTTGAGAAGGAGCTGTATATCATTTCCAATATACACTGGACTTGGACCTCTGGCCCTTTTCATCTGCCAAAGAACACATGAACAGTGGGTCAGTGGTCCCAAATTTCAAGGCCGAGATGTAGCCAATCTCCTTCTGACCACCAGTTTCTGTGAATTTGTCCGGTGCAGGCTTTCTTACCACACCTAATATCATCTCTGTTCATCTAAAATTTCTCTATAAGCAGGGCCTGACTTGCTTGTCTTTATGCCTCCTCTCACCTAGCACCATGATATATTCATAGAGCCTACTGTGTGATATTCCCCAAGTTACTTCACCACTCTGATCCTCAGTTTTATCTACTACTATAAAATGAAGCCATTAAAATGAATGGCCTCTAAAGTATCATCCAACACATTGTATAGAACAAAACACTGCCCAAGTAGGCTCTTACTGTCCATGTTAATGTAGGTGCATTAACATATTCTGAGACTATTTTTCTTTTTGGAAAATAGTTTGGATGTTGACTATTCTCCAAAGACTCATGTGTTAAGGGCTTGATCTCAGGTTGGTGCTTTTGGTGGAATCTTTAGGGCGTGGGGCCTAATGGGAGATCCTGTTGTTGTGGGATTTGGGGCTTATCCTCACAGATGATTGTGGAGATCCTGGCCCTTTCTGCTCCCTTTTTTGATCACTGGACCTGAGGGGACCAGTTTGCTCTACAACGTGCACCTCTCCAGCACATCCACCAGAGGCACAAAGCAATGGGTCTAGAATCGCGGACCGGAACCTCTAAAACTATAAACTAAAACAAACCTTTTCTCTTTATAAGTTAAATATCCTAGGGATTTTGTTATAGTGACAGAAAGCTGATTAACAGCCTTTCTTATAGGCTATACGGGTATTAAATATTTTTATTATGTAATTTCCAAGGACTACTTCCCTTGTCATATACATGTAATAACTCTGTACTGTAAGATCTATTATTTGTGTCATAACCCAGATGAGAAAATAGGCTCAAAAAAGTGAAATAATTTATCTAACTTCACTCAGTTAGGAGACAAGACTAATTGACATTAGAATCTAAGCAGGTTCTGTTGCCTTTCCTGATTTTGCAGAGGTGAGTGCTTTGTAAGTCAGCATCAGAACAGTCCTTGAATTTTCAACTCTTTCCTTTCCCAGGAACAAACCTCATGATGTTTATTTTGTTGTTATTATTGTTGTTTGTTTGTTTTGTTTTGTTTAAGGTGCTGGGGATTGAACCCAGGACTGTGTGGATACAAGGCAAGCACTCTACCAACTCAGTTATACCCCCAGCCATTTCTCTTTTGTACTGGGGATTGAACTCAGGAGCACTCAACCACTAAACCACATCGCCAGCCCTATTTTGAATTTTATTTAGAGACAGAGTCCCGCTGAGTTGCTTAGCATCTCACTTTTGTTGAGGGTGGCTTTGAACTTGGCATCCTCCTGTCTCAGCCTTCTGAGCTTCTGGGATTCTAGGTATGTGCCTGGCCTCCATGATGTTTTGAAAGGCATTTTAAAGTCCTCTCTCTGGTCTGACCTTGACTTAACCTTCAAGTGGCAAGCTCAGTATGCATGAATTATACACACATTTTTTTAAAAAATGGACCCAGAACTTGCTTTGCTTGTGTTCAGTTTATATCTAAAATCCTTCACATGTGAGCTCACCTGGTCAGAACTGATTTCCTTCTTTATAATCCCAACTTAACTCTCACGTTCCTAGGGAAACTTCTCTCCTTGTCATTTCCTTCACTGTCCCCAAACTTTAATCCAGTAAGCCTCATATAATGGCAGTTGGGCAGAGGGAGATAGTGCCAGGTGTGTCCTGGATGGGACCGAGGCGTGGCAGGAAGGGTGTGCTCAGACACTGGCACGCTCCCTAAGAAAAGAAGAGAGCTCTGCATCCCTATTCCCCTTAGCTGCCATCAGAATTGGGACAAGGGGTAACGTGAAGAGCAAGGTAAGCTGGAGTAGATTTGGACACTGTGAACGTCAAAGTGAGGAATGCTGACCTCGTCCTGCAACCCAGCTCTATTCTAAGACTTCAAATCACCCTCACCTGCTGCTCTTGTGCAGAGTGACAGTTCCAGTCCTCCTGGATCCAAGAAATTCACACAAAGTAGGAGAAACCATGCTACAGGATTGAGGAGAATGGGACGAGGAGACACAGCGACCCGGGGATGTACTGAGGAAGATTGTTCTGGTGGTGAAGTGGACGAAGGATGGGAGGAAACAGGGTAAGGGTGGGGGGGGGTCATCCTCAAAGATAGGGATTTCAACATGCTGCCCTCCACGTTGATCATGACCTGACCTTGGCAGCCGGAATGCTGGGGAGTCACCTCTGGCTTATGCTTCCTCCTCGTTATCAATAACCTATACTCTGTGTTAAAAATCATCCCGGGTCTTGAACATCAAGACGCTCTTTCGTCTAAGCCAATGAATCTCTGGGATTCCAGTGGTACATATTTTTTCAATGTAATAACATTCATCTCCCAAAAAAAGCACTCTTTCATCTTTCTGTTATTCTTCCCGTAAGCTGTAGGATTGGCAAGACAAACATAGTCCTCTCCACTTCAGAGTTGAGGAAACGGTACTGCAACAAGCATGTTCTAAGGGCTGATTCTGGAATAGTACTGAGGTCTCCTGATGCCAGGCTAGGATTTTTTTTAAAACTGGCAACCAAGGGACAAAGGCTATTTCTTTTTGATTAAAAATAAAGACCAGGTGCCAGTCTCTCGATATAGTGAGAGTGCTCCAACACTGCCCTGTATATGACAAAATATACAGAAATGGGAAGGAGTGCCTTAAATGTGCCTTCTCTATGCCAGGGGGAGCCTGGAATGGGCTGAAGGACCCCCCAATCACCCACCCACTCACAGCTTTGCAAGCATCATAACCTGCGTGGATCAAGCTGGCTCTAGACTTTCCTCAAATGGCACATGGTGATAGATAGAATGAGGCACTGATGGGGGCCTGTGTGCAGCCCTCTGAGCTTACCAAAGGTTTGGAACATCTTGGATCTTTAGGGTGTCCCCAATGCAGGAGATGGGAATGGGAGCCCCAATGGGGACAAAGAGGAAGATGAGGGGCATCTATTCAGCTTTCCTCTCTTTTTCCACTAGATGACATCGTCTCGTCCTAGAGAAGGCTATGGGTGGTTAATCATTCCACTGCCTAATGTTGTATGTTACATTGGAATCCTCGGAGCATCTTACATTTTTTTTGCAGTTATTGGTCCATATGTAAAATTGGCATATGAGATCCACAGGATAGCTGTTTATGGAAGTGTCAAGGACAAGAGTTATAGAAAGGAAACTTGCATGTATGTTTATCATGCACGAAGCCCTGAGCTCAAGCCCCAGCACAGAGAAGGGAAGAAAGAAGGAAGGGAGGGAGGAAGGATGGGAGCTTGGTAAGAAGCAGCCTCTCTGAATGAAGGGCAGAAATCAAGACATCCCAGAGTAGCCTTCTTTAAAAATCCAAAATTTTTGACTCTAAAATTAGGGTAGCAAAAAGATGAGCCTCAAACATCTCATAGTACTAGAAATTCAAAGTGTCCTCCAAAAGATGTCTTAAGTGAGATAAATAATGTGCGATTGGGTTATGATCCCAGGCATAAAATAAGTATTCGTGAGTCTATACTGAATAGGTTTAGTGAAGAAGTAAATAAATGGAGGGGGAGAGGTCAATTCTTATATGGAATAATTACAAATCACACAAGTAGCTACTTCCTCCTAAAGGAGGTGAGCATGGAGTCCTGCTCACCCTGGACTGTGGGCTGTTGCTGGTGACTCACTTCCATGGAACAGAGCAGGGACAGGGAAGCTAGCCACTTTGAGATGGAGAAACCTAACACACACTGCCTCAGACAAGTAATGCCGATTTCCCATCAGTCACGTTCTGCAGCCGAGTCCCCGCTGAAATATGGTAATGAGAGCATTTTCCCTGCGCTGTTCTTTCCATAAACCCACAACCTCAGTCTAGTCGTGAGGAAAACAGGAGACAAGCCAGCTGGAGGGACAATCTACAGAATAGCTGTCATATCACAGCAGACAAGGGAAATCGGAAACCATCCTGGACCAAAGGAGAAGGGGAGATGGGACAATGGAGGGCACTGTGGTACCCTGGACGGGTCCTGGAACAGAGAAGGGACACCAGGGTGAAAACATGAGACAGCAAGAAAGTCTTGAGTTCTGTTAATAGCTAATGACATTTCTTGGTTTTGACAAATGCCCCATACTGACATTCAAATAATAAAGGGAAAAGTGGGCGAGGGGTCTATATGGGAATTCCTTGTCCTATCTTTGCAGTTTTTCTGGATGTTGAAAATTATTCCAAAATGAAAGTTCATTTTAAAAAGCCTAAACAGAAGAGTTGCGCTAATCCTCAGTAGGTATGTCATGGTGCCAAATATCTACCCCGTAAGGCTTTGGATTACAATAGCATGTGTGCCCTCTGAGAAGCAAAATGTAAATTCTAAAACAAACTAAAAAAGAAGCCAAAATGAACCCATTTAGGATTATTGACCATGGCTTGAGACCACTGGCTTGCTCCAGTGCACTGGAATAAATTGCAAACTGTGATGTAGAAACTTGGAAGATACTTGGATAACTTAGATTCCAACCTCAAGTTCATTTTTATACAAAACTGGTTCCAGATACAGTTTATTAAAAAGATGGAGCTAGTTTGTTAGTCTTATAATCCTATTACACACACACACACACACACACACACACACACACACCAAAAAAATCTCATTGAGGGGGTCTATTTTTTAATGGCTTAGTTTTGTCTTTTGTCAAGGGCCTAGTCAGCCATGCCACACAGCCCACAAAATCTATTAGTTATCATTACTTCATCCAAGGTCTTAGATTTTGTGTTTGTTTGTTCTTTGCTCCCCCACCCCCACCCCCTTTTTTTAACCAGGGAAGAATACTCTGTGCTTGTGTGTAGACTTATTTGTGAGAACAAAGGTACCTCAGGACAGAGGACTCGTGAGATAGCACAGGCACACCACCACCCACAGGAAAGGGTCCCTTTCCCTCCCTGCTGCTTGCGGCATTTCTAAGCTACATTTAGACACATTCATGCCCAGAACAGAGTTGCCTCCCTCAGCTGCTTAGGACCGTAAAAGAACAGAGGAAAGAAAACAGAATTCGAAATGTCAATGGGAACCATTGCTTCCTCAAAGAGCAATCAATGCATCCATGGAAAATGAGACAGACAACTAATTCCTAAAACCCAACCATTTATCGACTCATGGGCTATCACTGTGACAGTGAAGCCACAAGGTTCAGAAAGGTGGATTCATTTGAATATCATGACAACACTAATAAGTGAAGTACCTCGAATCACTTGGAACTTATTTCAGTTATTCCAGAGCCCTCAGTTTAAAATAATAATAATAATATTACTGGGGCTGGGGATGTGGCTGAGTGGTAGAGCACTTGCCTCGAATGCATGGGGCACTGGGTTCGATCCTCAGCACCACATAAATAAATAAAATAAAGATATTGTGTCCATCTACAACTAAATTTTTTTTTTAAAAATAATATTACTGATTATAGCATTGTTTCCATCTTTGCGCATAAAACTGAGCTACTTGGGGATACTTAGATTTTTCCTTTGGAAGTGAAATCTCTGGAATAAAAGGTGTGAGTATTTGAGTTCATCTTAGTAAATTTCTTTCTGTGACAGATGCATCAACCGATAATCATTTTAGGGTCCCATGCTTACCAAAGTCTCCCCAGCATTGAGTCTTGTTATTTATGGCACCCATTGTCGGCCACAGAATTGCCTTCATTTGCATTTCTTGATTATATGTGCAGCTACACTGGACTTGTTATTCATGGGTCCTGGCTTCTCTGTCATCATGCTCCTATTTTATCTTTACCTAGTTTTTGGTAAAGCCTTTTTTTATTTTCTTAGTGTCACTCAGGGAGTCATTTATTTTCCAAGACTTATTGAATGTCTCTCCTCCATCAGGTATTTTGCCAGATGCTGGGCTCATATTGGTGAACAAAACAGTTTCAATCATGCCTCGTGGAATTTACAATCCAGGAGAGATAACAGACCCTGAGCAAATAATGAGGAGTGAAGCGAGAGGAGCAGGCGGCTTTAATGGCGTATCACGAGAAGGACCTACTGAAATGTGGAAGTTCAAGACAGATTTCCCCGAGGAAGAGACTGCGATCAAAGAGATGAATAAAACGCAGCTGGATAAAGGGAGAAGACTGGTAATGACACATACAACAGCACTGAGATAAGAGGAACGACATTTATTGGTTTTAACGGTTTTGGGGGGTTCATTTTTCTTGATAGATATCTCAGAACTCTCTATATTAAGGGCATTCATCTTTAATGTCATTTGTTATAAACATCATTTGTCCTTTCCTTTAAGCTCTAATCTATGATGTCTTTACTCAGAAATTCTTTTGCTTTCATACAAATTATAATAAATGGTTCTTTATTTCTTTTTCATGAGAACTTTAACAGACTCTATAACTTGTTTGTATTTGACACGAAACCTAGTATTTTCTAGCTCATACATGTGCGACTCGTCCTTTTTTCAATTGAATCTTCTTCTACCTTTGAAACCCTTTCCCCACCCCTCTTACTCATCACTGCCATCATCCGTAGAGTGTCTTTTAGCTCCTGCTGTATGACAAATTAACCAAAAGCTGTGTGACTTTACAAAACAATCCTTTACTGATGTTCTGAGGTCTGTGGTTGAGCTCAGATCTGAGCTGGTTAGATAAGGTCATCGAGGTGGTTCCAGCTGGGCCTCTCAGGCGCCTGCGACCTTGACTTGGACCCCTTGGATGACTTGTGGGAATGTGGCTGGGGTACATGGCCACTATCCTCCAGCTGGCCAGCTCAGACTTGTTTTATGGTCCAGACAGAGTTGTGGAGGGGGAAATGGATTGTGAGAAGTCTATGCATGAAACTGGCATGACCTGATTTCTGCCACATTCTATTTACCAAAACAAAGCTAGACTCAAGAAGTGGGGAATAGATTATACATCCCCTTGCAAGGAACTGTAAAATCATAATGCAAAGGATAAAGACCCAAGAAAGGCTGAACACTCTGGGTTAATTTTGCCATCCATGTGCCATAAATGCCAATGGAATTTTTGTTTCCATATTTTTATTGGTTTAGTTCCTCCTGTTTCTTTAAGGCCCAGTTCAAACTCATGACTTATTATTTCGTGGTATTCATCTCACTGACCAATATTTATGCAGCACTTATTTTACTTAACAGGGTCACAAATGCTTAATGTCCTTAATTGATTGAATCTCCACAATACATAGGTGAGGAAGGTACTCTTATTGCCCTTGTGTAGTTAAGGAAATGTTTTTCTGAATATGTCTTTTCTTAAAGACTCAAAGCTAGCTTGCAAAAGTCTGAATCCGAATTCAAATGTAACAAAGAAGTTTATAATTTTAATTCCTAAACTTTGCCTACTTAAAAGTCTTTTTATAGAAAAACCATCAAAAACGTTACATTAAATCAAAATAGCCATATTTCACTTTCTGCTAAAGCAAATAACATTTTAGTTTATTTAGTGTAAACAGATGTATATAAATAGAAGCCGTCTATTCTGGGAGTGTTCAACACTGAATTTGCTATCTATTAATTTACTTTCTTCCTACAAATTAAAAGTAAAACCACATTGTTCAATATTTAAGAAAGGCATCAGTCGGTTTCCCAGGCTCAGAGAGTTAGTGAAATCCGTGCTCTAAAGGTGACAAGGTGAAATTAGCCCTTGCTTTGACATTAGACTTCAATTCACTGAGATCATAAATCCTGTCTTGTATGTCTGCTTAGATCCCCCATGTCTAGCTCAGTATGAAGGATGATAAACATAACTGTAGAACTAGAGATTCTTGGAAAGAATTTTGTACAAACTTTGCATGTTATAAGTGAGAAACAGACCCCAGGAAGAGGTTTGATTGACACCAAGCCACTTGAATAATTAGCGATCGATTCTGGACTAAAAGCTGTCTGCCTACTCTCAACTCAGAGCTACTTCTTCCATCTTTGCTTGTCTCTCTCTAATACAAAAGGAGAGCATTTCCTTTCCTTTATATACAGCGGTAGAGCTTTCCTTTCTCTTTTTCTCTAACTCATAAACTTGCTGGACTCGGTGCTCCTGGGAGTGTTAAAGCAGAACGCGCTTATTTACTTTTATTTTTTGTACCGTTTTCCTTCTTTTTTATGATCCTGGCTTCCAACTGTGTGGCAGAAACACATAAAAATTGGCATAAAAGTAGGAAAATGTGCCCCAGATGCTGTATTAACTGTGAAATAACTTTAAATGCCTCCAAACAGAGTCTGGTCTCCTATCCGTCAGCTTTCAAAGCGGCTCTTCCTAACGCTTTCCTTTTGTCTGTGATAAGGAGGTGACAGTGTGGGGTAAACGCTCTGCCAGCTTGCCAATGGCGGTACCACAAATCATCCCCGTGGGCTCAGGTAGGTTTTTCATCTCTGAGCAGAGAGGGAGCAACAGGAAAGAGAGGGACTCCAGTTCTGTTGGTGGAAATTATTTGGGTATGGATTTATCATCACGGTGGAGCCCTAGCAAGAGATTTTCAGGCAGAATTCAAAACACACTAAAGCCATGCCTACTGCTCTGGTTCTTGAAGTCCCCTTCTGCCTAGGAAACTTGTAAAAGGGCATATAGGGTGGTGGCAATACTTCTGAGCCTCCAGTCTTGCACCCGTCTTCCATTCTTCTCCCAAGAGTCCCAAGAATCATTCGGAATCAGGGGTCATGTTGTGTCACTGCCTGGTCTAAACCTGCATGCACTTTCTCACTCCCCCAGCATGGTGGTCTCAACTCAGAGGCAGGGCTCACAGGACCTCCCACAGTCCCTGTGCTCCTCCAGCCTCTCATCTCTGTTCACTTGACCAGACTTCTTGCAGATCCTTGAATAAGCCGTGATTTTCCCCTCTCCAGACTTTGGAGAGTTTTCCCTACGGAGGGAGGGAATCCTCTCCCCTTATGCCCACCCTTACTCAGATTTTTAAGCTGCAACTTAGTTAGAACTGAAGAGGATGTGGGACACAGGCTTTCTGTCCCTCTCCCTGGCTCTGTGCCATAGTCTTAGAGCACCCTGGGTTTCTTCTATCATAGCAATCTTACTTTTGCATTGAAGCTGAAGCTTGTTCAAGATAGGATATGCCAAATTCTATCTTAATATGCCTTGATGGCACTTAGAGATGGGCGTAGCTTAGCTGTTAAGACAGTTAACTGCCTGTGTTTAATTCCTGGATCTATCGATTTTTAGCTATTTGGAAGAAATTTTAATGCTTTAGAGATCAAGCTGAGGTTTTCTCATCTATGAAACAAGAATAAAAATAGGACAGACCTGATTGGGTTATGTTGAAAATCACATTTTAGTTCATGGGAAAGTCTTAGTACAGTGCCTATACCATAGCAAGTTTTCCAATGCTGTTACTATAAAGAAGCTTATAGAAAAAAAAAATGTGTGATTAAATGAACAGCTAGATGTCTGCCCGGATCTTCATGAACATACCGCTTACTGTTGGATGGGTTTTAGTTTCTCTCTAGGTGTTTTGTTTCTTAATCCAGAATCTGAAAAGATGCAGTAAAATTGTCTCTAAGGAGCCATACAAAGACAGACAAGAAACTGGTCTAGGCAGAAAAGAATCACATTTTTTTTTTTTATTTCGTTTTCCCTTTTCCAAAACCTATAGGCAGCTGGGTGCTTTAACAAATGAGAAAAACCTAGCTTGGAGAGGTTAAGATGACTTGCCTGAGATACTTCATACAAATGGAAGAACCAAAACTGAAACTCAATTGTCAAGTACAGCCCAAGTTTTTTCTATTGTTATTGGGTCAGACTGTATCTTGAGTGGAGGAGTCTTATTTAATCTTTGTCCTATCATGTTGAATGTCAACAACACAAGGATTTTATCAAGTTCATAGACTTTTATAGCTGTGGTGGATTTTAAATTTATTCTAATTCTACAGATGTAGCATCTGAGGATTCAAAAGCTGAAGTTCATCCAAGGACACTCAGTCATCACCATGGTCAGCATCTCATAGGCAGCAAACCTTCAACATACCCTTCTTGACCGATGGCCTTGATTTGACTAGACTCCAAATTCTTTCTTATA